CTAGGTTTGTGTAAGGCCCCTTTATGATGTTCATGGTAGCCATACAATGTCTTTCTTGGAACATATTGTTACTAAGCAATGCATTACTGTATCAATGTATAGAATATATGGATCTAATTAGTTTTTTCAAGTGCTGGTAATTGAACTTTGGGGCTTATAATATCTATTAGATCAGCCGTTTCAACCTGTGGGTCAAATGACCCTTTCACAGGGGTTGTATATCAGATATTTTGAATATCAGATATATCAGATATTTACATTATGATTAATTACAATCAGTGACAAAATTATAGTTATGAAGTAGGCAATGAAATAATTTTATGGTTGGGGATCAACCCAACATGAGGAGGTGTGTTAAAGGTCACAGCATTGGAAGGTTGAGAACCACTGTATCAGACCGATGATTGAAGGATAGATGGACAGACAGATAGATATTGGCTCTCCAATAACTCAGGAGACATGCAAGTCCAAACCTTTTAGGCAAAGGAGGATGCTGCAGTCAACATGTGAAGGCATTCTTCTGGAAAATGCCCTGCTCTTTGAAGGAGGTCAGTGCTTCTCTCTTAAAGCCTTCAAGCCTTTGGATGAGGCCAGCCCACACCAGGGAGGATAATCTGCTTTACTCAAAGTCTACTGATTTAAATGCTAATCTCTCCCTCAAGAATGCCTTCACAGGGACATCTGGAGTCATATTTGGCCAAATCTCTGGGTACCGCTGCTAGTCAAGTTGGCTGATGTAATTATGACCTCTTTGTATTTGATAAGGTCGTGAGTGTCCATGCTTCCTGCCCAGTAGTGGCTCCAGGTAGTAGGAGACATGCACCTGTCTTCCCAGGCTTGAGTAACAAGGGAGCCCGGAGGCACGGTAAAGCCTATGATGGGCATAGAGAGGAAATGTGAAGAGTGACACGTTTGTCTGGTCTTGTGTGGCATGTGCCTTAATTCTTACTCCCCACCAAGTCCCATCTCTACACCTATGACTTCCTGGTTCTTCTGTTCCTCCATCCATCAACCATCTATCCATCCCATAGACATAGTGATAGATACATAGATTCATATTTGGGCTGAGGGTGTATCTCAGTGACAGAGTGCTTACCTAGCATGCATGAGGGAGGCCCAGGGTACAATTCTCAGAACTGAAGAAAACAATGAGATCCATATGTATGTCACATCGATGCAATAATGATTGCTTAACACCCTTCCCTTCCCGCCCCGAAGTCCACTCTGTCCCAGTGGAAGGACCCCTGGGAAGGTAGATTGATGCTGTCCCTAATGACCTCCCTTCTAGCTTTTTCCAATAAGAGACCCAGCCTGAGCCTGTATGCTGCTCTTCATGAGGCTTTAGACAGAATCTGTAATGCCTGGCCCAGCCCTGGGATCTAGCTTTTCCAACACAGCTCTCTCTGTTCCTCCAAGAGATCTAGAGATGGTCCCGTGCCTGAGTCAGAGGCCTGCCAGACCACCCTGTTGCTGTCACTAACTTGACTTCCCAGAAAATTTCTAAGCCTCCCTCCAGTACCCAGATACTAGCCATAGCTAGCAGGGGTATTCTAGCTACTACTTAATCTTACTTCTCTCCTTCAAACCTCCACACCATATGACAGGTTAACAAATTGCCCAAAAGAGCACAGAGACGCATACCAATAAAGCCATGCTTGGCTTCCAGAAATAGCCTGGGAAACAGGCCATTCCTCTGAATCACCGTAAGTACCAAGTACAGCAGAGGTGGTGTCAAGTGCCCTTTAACCTCTATGCCCCTGCAAGACAGCCTCTTCTCTCCTCTGGAGGCTCTCATCCAGCAGTCAGGCAGCCTTCCTCTCCAATAGCAGCTGGACTGTTATTTGGATGTACAGTGCCCACCGGGCTCCCCCAGTCAGCATCTCTCCTACCTCCCATACCTGCTATGTTCCTGCATTATTCCCCAAGTTGATGTGAAATTATGCCAGGTGTGCAGTGAACATTTCGGGCTAAAGGGGATGCTCTCCTATGTGGAAGGCTGGGTTGTAGTCAGCCTTGAAAAGAATCACCAGATAGGAGTGGAGTGATTACAACCTAAAATGTCAAGAGAATATGACTCGGTGATGTGTTGTTCTCCATTCATCTTATAAAATTCAGAACAGTAAATTCAACATTAGGAGAAATAAAATTCTAGCACCCAGGGAGTGGAGGCAGAAGGGTAGGAGTTCATGACCAGCCTGGGACATGTAACAAGCCTCTGTCTTGTACAGAGGTAAATTAACTGTCATTTTCTTGCATGGTGTGGACAAGTTGGGTATTGTGGTCATAAACAAAGCCAAGGCACAATGTCAGTAGGAGTCATTGAAATCCAGGCTCCAGGGAGACCTTTGAATGAGCCAGCAACGTGAAGGTAGACATAACTAGTAGAAAGGTATGGTGCTAGGGAAATTCAGATGCTACATGGTCTCAGATTCTGCAGAGCTGTGGCACTGTGAATGAAGCAGCTGCTAGCCTTGGTGCTCAGTGCAAACAGAGTCAGCCAGGACAGTGTATCAGACAATGATAAGACAGCAGGGCTGGCTCCTGGCCCTTTGGGGGGGAAACAAAACAGAGCATCATGAAGACTCTTTATGTGTGCACACTAGACTTTGAACACTTGTTATTTCTTTCTTCTCTAACTGTCATTCCTAGTATCCACTGGCTCCTTGCTTCATCTTAGGTGCTCTGTGAACTTTATGGCCTATTTTAATTGAATTATTGATGTAGATAAAAGCCTACAAAAACATAATCTCTACCCAGACTCCACACAGCATCAGGACATCATTGATGCTATGTTGAAGTTTTCTCCAAGTTAGAGAAGACAAAGAAACGGACTGTGCTCATGCTCCTGGCACATGTGTAAGGAATGAAGTGAAGAAGAGATGGGCCTTGGAAATCAGGGAAGCACCAATGTGCTCTGTGTGTTATGTAGTAGGCGATCTTATTGAGTTCAAAGGTAGCCAGACATGGTAGCACTCACCTTTAATCCCAAAAGACAGAGACAAGGAGATCTCTGTGAGTTCAAGGCCAGTCTGATGTGCATAGTAAGTTTCAGACCATCTGGGGCCACACAGGGAAACACTGTCTCAAAACCACAAGAACAACACAAAGGTAAATAATGAAGGCCCAAGAAGTGGGATGTTTCATTAGTTGGTCTCTTTTCTCACTGTGACAGAATATCCGGTATAACTTAAAAAGAGGGAGGATTTCTCTTGGCCCTAGTCGCAGAAGTGTCAATCCATCACTGTGGCAAGTATAGGGGTGGAGCTAAACAGTCTATCATGATAGTGGGACCATGTGTTGGAGGAGGTTTTTATGTTGAACAGAAAGCAGAAGAAAGGGATACAGGGAGGGACGGGGGCAAGAGAGAACCCTCAAGGGCACACCACCAGTGACCCACTTCCTCCAACTAGGCCTCACCTTTCACCTTCTCCCCAAAACACAACCACATGAATTCATAAAAGAGATCCATCTGTCATTAGGTTAGAGTCCTTGTGACCTAGCAGACACTCCCAGAAGTGTGCCTTACTGATCTCCTAAGTGCTTCCTAGTCTAATAAAATTGTCAGCCAAGAGTGACCATCACAGGAGTGATACTGAGAGACACAGGGGGACTTACCTATCAGTGGGATGGTCTGGATGCTGACAGACCGATAGAGCTGAGTTGGTCAAGGCACAGAGAGACTAAGACTGTGATGAGGTTGGATCTGGACCCTTGTGGTGGACTCTGGGAACTCAGGGATAAGGGCAACGATACATTTGGAAGAGGTATTCAAGAAAGAAAAGAGAAGGGTTCGAGGACACATGTAGTCCATGCGTTGGACAGAGATTTCCTGAGGAGGGGTGCATGAGGTACTATGAACTTGAGAGGTCTCCATGATGGGTCCATTTTAGAGTTAAAGTTAACATCCTCAGAGCCCAGATGGCAAAGTCAGAATGTGGACTTGATCTCTCCTCACCACTGTGACCCCCCTCCCTCTGGCTCAGGACCTGGCTGGAGTATTCTACCCACTCTCAGATTTCCCACCAGCTAGGCCCTGCAGGCCCCTGGCTCCTGCTGTGGATGACATCAGCCAGCTCCCAGGTCCTTCACACACCAGAGCTCCTTTCAGAATTACACCCTGCAGTCTAAAGAAAAGAAAACTGAGGCTGAGAGCGGTAAGAAGCTCAACCAAGCTCCAGTATGTTTGTACACGTGTGTGTAGGTGAGTGCCCGGCTTAGGTCTGCTGTCACATCTAACATGACAAGGTTCAGACAGAGTGAACAACCACTTCTACCATAAGAAGGAGTAGCCTGACTGGCCATTTGGGCTTCTGCAATGCAGAACTCAGTAACATATACCATCAAAGTGGCCAGCTTGCACCATAGGGACATGTAAGCCCCTCCAAGAGCTTTTCCCTCAAGTGCACAGCAGAAGTTCAGAGGGGCCAAACCAGCCTGTTTTAGCTGGGGAATAGTGTTGCTCACAGTAGGCTGGGTCTTCTGACATCAATTAACTTCATTACGACAACTCCCTACAGATGCAGCCACAGGCCAACCCAATGCAGACATTCCCTCATGGAGACTCTCTTCCTGGGCAATTCTAGGTTGTGTCAAGTTGACAGTTAAAGCTTGCCATTACAAGTACGCTGAGGAAAACTTTGACTGCCCTCATGGACGTTAGCAAAGGTTTCTGAGCTCCATTCCTTTGGCCTATTCACAAATGCTAGGCCAGGCTTGAGAAGTCAGTCATGAAACCTTATGCTAAAAGAGCCTTTTCTTCCCCCATGTGGAACTTTGGCTGATAATGGACACTTCTGTAGGTTGAGTCCCATTCAGGGGAAATAAAGAGCCAGTGAGTGAGAGGGTGGAGCAGGCAGCCAGCGCTGGGCTGGGTGGGAAGGTAGATATGCCCCCCCCAACTTGGTTTCTATAATGAGGAAGTTCTCTGCAGCTCAGTTTCCTCTCCCTCGCTGAGCGCCTGAAACAGGAAGTCAGTCAGTTAAGCTGGTAGTAGCAGCAGAGGCAACTTCAGAGAGGCAACAGGCGGCAGGTCTCAGCCTAGGGCTCTTAACTACTTTGCTGGAGTGTCCGTCCTGGGAGTGGCTGGTGACCCAGCCCAGGAGACCCATGCCTGCCATGGTCCCTGGGTGGAACCATGGCAACATCACCCGCTCCAAGGCAGAGGAGCTACTTTCCAGAGCTGGCAAGGACGGGAGCTTCCTTGTGCGTGCCAGCGAGTCCATCCCCCGGGCCTATGCGCTCTGTGTGCTGTGAGTACCCCATCTCCTCCCAACTGTCAGATCCAGGGACCTCTGAGGGGTGGATCCAAAGGGGGACCCCTGTAATGGGGGTTTGAGTTATGTCACAGAATGATGGGACCTGACTGGTACTTTGTTACCCTGTGGAGAGGGTGAAGGTAGGGGCAGCATCTGAGGCCCACTTTGGACCTTGGCTTTGGAGTTCCGGGAGCCTGTGTTATGACAGGCTTGTGTGGTGTTAGGGCTCTCCAAGTATGACTCTGGGCCTCCCCCACACTGCAGCCCTCCATGACCTGTGGTGTCAGGGGCCTTCTCCTTTGCCGGCTCCTGTGCTGGATTCAGGGATCCTCACTCAGCCAGGAAGAAACTCAGGCCTCTCTGGTGGAGAGCGCATTGGAAAGCATCTTGGTCAGCTCAAGTGTCAGCCAGGGACTCAGTGAAGGGCAACTGTGGCAAGAGGGATTCCTTCCTCTACCCTAGTATGTGGTCTGAGAGCTAATTCTATTTGGGGAGCTGAGTCTGGGGTACATTTCATCAGGAAAGGATTCCTCATGCAGACATTTTATTCTAGGCTGCAAGGACATAGGAAGCCATAGAGCTGCTCTTTGAGTAGGTCTCTGTCCCTCCTTGCACTCAGCTCTGTACCTACCTATCTGGGTTTCTACCTCAATAGGTTTCCCCCACAACCCAGTGTGAAGATGTTGCTGAATGTGCTGGTTATCCTAACGACAGAGGAAACAGCCACTTGCTGAAGGTTCCTTTTTAACACTCTGTCCATCTAGCATCTGAGGAAGGCTGTCACCCCTATAGCCCTGTGATCTGACCTTCTCCGGGCTTTAGGTTGGAGCAGGACAGGAACACAGTGTCTACTTGAACAGCACAGGTAGCATCTGATAGATTGTCCCTGGACTGAGAGAAAGATCTTTCAGAACAGCTAGGGCCCCCATATCTTCATGCAGGAGGGAAGTGGGTGACTGACCACAGACTGTTCTGAGCTCTGACTCATGTTGGGACCTGCTGTGCTAGGCATTTGTTGGCTGGTTTCATCTTCAAGAGAGTCAGGGGTATGGGTTCTACGAACACCTAGACCTGCAGATAAGGACCATGAGGCTTGGACAGGTTACTGACAGCTGAGGATCAGGTTGTTTGCTCCCAGAGACCACCAGCTTGTTCTGCCTACTTCCTCCTACCACCATCAAGCCGGGCATGCCAGTGGACTTGGGTGGAAGCAAGAGGGGTTAGGGCATTCCCAGAGTTGGGGGGCAGGGACGCTAGAAGCCACTATAGGCTCACGGCTGGCTGAGCATCTTGTGCTGGTGGAGTTAGCAGCCAGCTTTCTGCACACCCACCAGCATGTTTCAGGAGAAGCACGGCAGGTGGCCTGGACCTCCCCTTAGCACTGTCCCTTGAGGAATCTACCAGTGAGCAGTGAGAGGCCCCAAAAGGACAGAGGGCAGGAAGGTACTTTTCCGTGTGTCACAAGCTCAGTCTGACTCCTCTAACCCAGTTACATTTTTTCTGCCCCAGTGGGATTTGAGCCAAGGGCAATTTTGTTGGGAGTTGGCTATGGGCTGAGAGATGGTTGTGCACATTGGTTACAAACATGGTATGGGTTCCCTTAAACTAAGCTGCCAGCATCTGAAGGCTGGAGTCAGAGCAGAAGGAGCCTGAGCCAAGACCAAGGGGTCTTGGAGACCCTCAGGCAGACAGGCCTTTCTTCTTTACCTATCTCCCCTGTCTCAGCCGTCTTAAGTTCCTGCAAAGCAAAGATGATATGGAAATTTTCAAATTAAAGCAATGACTACCACAAATTCAGCATATGATGTAAAGCATCCAAAAAAAAAGCTAGAAAAGTATACTTTTTAATTTGAAAAATTGTTAGAAGCCAGCCGTTTAACGCAAAGAGACTTAACTTCCTGAAAAAAAAAAAAAAACCTTCACATCCTTACTTTCCCCTGTTCCCTGTGAATGATGGAACCTTGCCCACCTCATCCCTGCCCCCTCGACATCTGCCCTGACCAGAGTCCAGGCTCCTGCCAGAGAAGATCAAGTCAGCAGCTTCAGGACAGCAACAAGGTCGTGGTCAAAGATGGGGCTGCAAAGGAGAGATGGGGCATGGGGTGGACGTGGGATACAGGACAGTTGAGTTTCTTTCAGTTTCAGAAGTGATACGTTTGTCGAGTGTGCTGTCTTGCTGGACATCAGCCAGTCTGTGTAGACTCTGGATCATGCAGCTGTGGGTTAGCTGCTGCTGGGGCTTTATCCCTGTCCCTTCTTGTGACCGAAGGGACAGCAGCAGAGACCCTGTGCCCGTGTTGGGTTTGTTTGGCACTCCGGGAGGAACGCATCACTGTGAGGAGCAGACATAACAGGGGAGAGGGAGGTAAATGCTTAAAGACAAGGTTGTGATTCAGTACCACCCACTTGACAGAGGAGCGCACATTCACCCCACACCCTGACCCTCACCCTGACCTTTGTTTCCTTCAGAGAGATCAATCTTCTCACCACCGAGCAAGAAGGCTTTTATTTCTTCTCAGTCACCACTCAGAGAGCCTTGATTTAGGGGAACCTGGAGTTACACTGGAGCCCCAGAGCACCGGCCTGGGGAGACCTTGCTAGTATGATTGGAGATCTGTTCTACCTTCCTTAAAAGGGAATGTGTGCCCTTCTAAGTGGGGCCTGTGTCTCCTTCACTCATTTCTACTCAGTTCCTCCGTGGTGAGTCAGCTACCTTCCAGGGAACCTGTGTGGGGTATCGGCCAGGTGGATGGAGACTTTTTAAGAGGCTTATGCGGCTCCCGAGCAGGGACAGCACAGCTGCCTGGTACTGTGTGTCGCAGAGAAGATAATGCTTCTGAGGGTAGCTCAGCCGATGCAGGATCTGCGGGTCATCCCAGTAGCTTCTTTTGCTGAAGCTACACAGGAAGAATTTGAATGATGACCCAGCACTTGGAAACAACCTTCTCTATTTAAAAGAAATGACCAGGCCTAGACACAGCCCACTTTCCATTAGGTCAAGTTGGCTGCTGTCTGTGTGAGTGGCATTTCTCCTGAACCACTCTGGTGTGATGCAGGGAGAATGTGGTTGCTTTTGGTCCAGCCCGATATGTGAGGGATTCCCTCAGCAAGTGGCCTTCCATAGTGGTGGAGTAAGGCTTCATCCTAGGTATAGAATGCCAAGGCTTATGAGGTTTGGTAGCTCTAGCAGTGCAGAAAGAAAGGAGGAAAGGCATGGGACATTTACAACCAAAACTACCCTTGGAGAAGGCATTCTAGTCTTTTGAAAGAAATGGTGTGACCAGCCACTGGTAGGAGGGCAGGCACCGAGCCTGCTGGGGTGATAAAACAGGTTGTGGTTTTAGGACTAACGGAGAGCAGGGTGAGGACTATTCACACTTGTTCTTTGGTGGAAAGAGAACTGCAGAGAAGGAGCTGGTGAGGGTGGAAACACCTAGCAGAGGGGTCAGGGCATGGATTGTGCCATGAGAGGGAGAACTGTCATCTCCCCTCCCCCAACCTCCTTTGAAAGTGTCTATAAGGTTTCTACAGCATGATGATGGCTTTTGTGCAAACACAGTGTGGTATTGTTTTCCATATCTGCCATCGAAGGCAAATGAGGGAAATACCTGCATAGGCAGAAGCCAGAGCTGAAGGCCTATGGGCTCTTGACATCTGCTTGACATGAGAAAAGGTCTTTCTTTGAGAAGGATGTTCTTGAAGACTCGTTGTGTCCAAGACTAGGAGGGAGGGCTGAACCCAGGAGGGCCTATTTAAAGCCTATTGTATCATTTATGTAAGTGACAGAGTGGCTACGATTCTGCCTGTGCCCAGCACCCTGGAGCTGTCTTCCCAGGTACAGGGTAGGCACTGGCTTAGGTGCATTTTTCAGCTCTGCCTACCACAATGTTACTTCTTAACATTTCCATCTCTCTAGGACACGAGGCTCTTGCCTCCCTGGCACAGAGATGGAACAAGAACTCTGCTATTGTTCCCCAATTCATGCCAGGCCATGTGGGCCCAAGGAGCAAGACTCTGGAGCTGCCTAGAATCTCTTACATCATGTCGGCAAGACACCTAGAACCTCAGCTCTAAAGTGAGACTGGCCAGACCCGTTCACTGGCTTACAGTGCTTCAGCAGAGGTTAATGCACACACTCTAAAGTCACCTGTCCACATTCTGGTTTGTGGTTCAATGGTCCTTAGTAACTGTCACATAGTCATGCAACCAACACCGCCATCTAATTATTCTCAGAAGGACACCCCTTTTCCCCCATACACATGAACAGCTGCTTGTCACTCCCCTTTCTTCTGACCTCTGGAAAGAGCCAGTCTACTTTCTGTCTCTAAGGATTTGCTTGACTCGTGCATTTTGTGTATGTGAAATTATATGGCGTGTAGCTTTTGATATCTGAATTTGTCCACTTGGCATAATGCCTTTAGGCTCACCTAAATTGTAGCAGACATCTTTGATAACCCATTGTACAGATACACCACAATCACCGGTTGAATGACTTTTGCCCTGTTTTTACTTTTTGACTCTTGTGAATAATAGTTGCTGTGAACAGTCATCAACCAGCCTTTGGGTGGATGTCTGTTTGCAGTAATCTTAGATGGTGAGAAGCAGGGCTGGGTCACGTGGTGATTTCATGTTTAGCATTTTGAGGAATTGCTGAACTCTTGTACTCAGCAGTGGCTCTAACCAGCTGTTGATGGTCTAGTTTTTCTACTAGTTATTATCTGGTGTGTGTGTGTGTGTGTGTGTGTGTGTGTGTGTGTGTACATTTGCAAATTGTGTGTATGTCAACCAAAGGACAACTTCAGGAGTTAATTCTCTCCTTCTACCATGTGGGTCCCAGGGACTGAACTCAGATAGTCAGGCTTAATGGCAAATATCCTTACCCTCGGAGTTATCTTATCAGCCCCATCATTTTGATTTCTTTATTTAAGAGGCTCTCAATGCCCTGGAACTTATGAAGGTTAGATGGGCTGGTAAGAGAGGCACCAAACCCAATT